GATTTATAGTTTTAGGTTTTGATACAAGATGTTAGCCCCTGGGTGGAGGGAGAAGATGGAACTCTAGAGTGAGAACTAGTATCTTCCCTACCTAGCCGGTCTTTAAGACTATTCAAACTATAGATTAACAAATGTTCTTTATAGCATCTCTAGTAAGGGTAATGAATATTATTGCTCCTATTTGGCACAACACATTTAGCATACTTCCACAACGGAATTTCTATATTTATCACTAATTCATAATAAGGAAAAAGATATTTTATCTATATTTTCTTAATCTTGCAAGTATTTTAATTAAGTTAATTAGTTGCTCACTTTATTTTCAATTATCAAAAATCACAAAAATAATCAAACTTTCATTTCTATTATTTCATCTTAAGTTTGAGTAAAAACATATATTGTTAAGTATTTTGTTATTTAAATCCAATCCTCCCAGTGAGTTTGATATTCGGAACAATCAAAAAGTTTTATATTACTTTATAACGATACATATACTTGTGTAGTATCCCACATTGAAATATTATAACTGCATTCTTTTTTGCTTCATAGTGAAAAATTTACCTAGCCTTCGCTTTAGATCAAGTTTTTGGCATCGTTACAAATTAAGAATATCTATTAAGGAAATTAATCACATACATCACATTTTACATCTATCTATATAGAAAATCAGAATCATTGTATTACAACATTCATGGAGCAAAATTGTAGGAAATTCTAAAGAAACCCACAATCTCAAATCAACATATTGCATATTTAAAGTCGTAGTGTTACTTGAGAACATGTAATGCTTAAGTTTAGAGAAATTTGATGTGATATACTTATTTTCTTCTATATTTTACACATATTTTTGAATAAAACTGCACTTTACTAGAATGTATTTTTATGTCTATGATGCAAGTATAATAGGTGGGAGCATTGGAACGAATTTGGACTGAATCAGGCGAAACGGAACCAAATGGAGCAAAGGTGTTGATTGTGGGCACCAAGGTGTTGCAATTGAACACCTTAGCGCCAGGTTCTGGGCACCCAGGCTCCAAACTTTTCATGTAGACAGAGAGCTTAGCGCCTAAGCGCCGCAGACTGGGCGCCCAGGAATTGTAGTTTATATAATTACTTTGTTCATGACTCCTGGAGTTATTTTACAGGTGTCAATGGTTCAAAAGGGTAGTTTTGGAAATCTTATGAGTAGGGAAGAAATTCAAATTTATGAAATTCTCCAAGGACAGTAGGTAAGAGTAGGAACTCTTGTTCTAGAGAGATTTGAGAGAATCAATAAGGGGTTGACAACAACATCTTGTGTCGCACTATGGAAAAAATCATCCGGTGGAATTTTCTTCTCCTTTAAGATGGAAAAATCTAAGTATTGTGTGTAATCTTATTTGATTATTATTATAAACACATATTTGGTTAATTTGCTTGGATTTAATGAATTTTCTTTGGTGTTTATCTTGTGTAGTGAGTAAATTTCTTATACTTTTCTCTTGTGAAAGATAGGTTAGATTTGTAGGGTTGTGAATGTTGTGAATTAATCTTTATTTTCATGTGATGAGTATACCTCTCGACTTAATTTACATGTTGTACTGGCCATATAACTTATTAAAATTTGTTATGGCCCATTAGGACTCGAAAGAGCGATGGCGAAACAACATAGAATATTCACATTGTGTGAATGACTATGAAAGATGAGTCATGAGGCCATGCAACTTATAGAGATGTGTATCGCTATAGTTTGAGTTAAGAGTTTTACGAGTGACAGAAGAAAACAAATACCTAAATATGAATCATACTCATTTATACACTTGAAAGAGGGTAAATGAGTCTTATGTTCTTGTTATCACTATTATATTACAATTCTTAGTATTAACGCCTACAATCTACCTAGGAAATCACAATCGAGAAGTACGTGTATCAATCTTGAATTTCACCTGTTTAATTGAACTAGGCAAGTTTAACTTAGGGGTAGAAATATACTTAGGAGTAGTTAGAAAAATCATATTTAGCGATCTTCCAAACTAGGATCTGAAGGTATAGGCTAGAATTCACCCTTAGGTTTTTATTACTATAAGTCTCTGCAACATTCCCTGCGGGATCGACATTCCGGACTCAAGTAGAGCCCTATATTACGAAAGTGATACATGCAATTGCGTAGGAACCCTGACATTTAGGTGGATATTGTTAGCTAAATTAAATTATCATTAAAGTTTTGGTAGCTTTTGTGGTCGTCAGAGAGTATTAACTTCATACCTTTCTCGCTTATATGGCCAAGTCTATGATGCCATAGACATGCATACAATGTTGCTTTGAGCCATCAACAGTGCCCCCTGGTCACCTTCTATGAGTTACCTGTGAAAGCAGTCATGAGTCCTAACTTTATAAGCTTGCTTAAAAAAATGAGACTTATCTTCACACTTGAAACATGTCTAACTTTAGTAAGCGTCCAAACTATTCCATTTGGTAACCTGATATCAATATCAACATTTCCTACAATATTACAAGCCTTGTTATCTTCAAGCTAACACTTCCCTGTATACTCTGAGTGTAGTTTTTGAATACGCCTTTATTGGGGCAAGCATTAAAAGAGGCACATGAATCCACTATCCAAGATTCAGTGTTGGCTAGGGATAACACCAGGGAGTCAATTTGGATTTCACCTGTAGAGATATTTATAACGAGATTCCTTTCTTGACCTCAATTATCAGCTTTCTTTGAAGCTTTGTAGTCCTTCTTAAAATGACATTTCTTGTCATAGTTCCAACATTCTATTTTTCTATTTCCTTTGCTTGACCTGGAGTTTCCTCTCCTGGACTTGGATCTACCTTTGCCAGTATTCCTTTCCAAAATCCTTCCTCTATTATCAACATTCAATTTAGAACCAGAATATTCACTATTTGTTGTTTTTCTGTGAACTTCTTCTTTCAGCATCAAACCCCCAATGTAATTAAAGTTCAACTTCATATTTCCTAAAAAATTACTAACCGTCGTGACCAAACCATCCAAGCTTTCTAGTAAGAAGATAGTATCACTAGTGCTCTGACCTCATCATCAAACTTGATCCTCACAGAGCACAACTGGCTCATTACTATGTTAAAGTTATTTAGAGGTTTTTCACTGAACTGACTTCTACCATCATTATGTTGAATAATCTCTTCATCAAAAATATCAAATTTGAAGCAAAAGGTTTTTCGTACATCTTGGTCAGTGTCACCATGCGATCCACCATGGTTTTCTAATTTATAATGTTGAACACAACAGACGGGGGAAGTGACGACTAAATCAAACCTAATTATGTTCGATCCAACACTTTCCATTTCTCTAAAGTCATAGACTTAGGCTACTTGGTGAATCCTAGTAGTTTCAAAAACAACTTTGTCTAATATAGCAAATCCTCCACTGACATCCTCCATATGCAAAGTTCATCCCATTGAGTTTCTCCACTTTAAACCTTGCTTTGTCGGTCTTTGCTTCTACTCGAATCAAACCCCGCTCGATAGCACTTTTTTTGGGATGAAACAATCCCCTTATTCTTTCCCGGGGCTTAGAATTAATTTAAATCTAAACCACACCACACCGGATTCATATTGATTCGAGAAAATTGGAATAAAACTATGAACGGATGCACAACAAAAATAATCCAGAAAAGCACAAAAGAATTTAAAGTGTAAAAACCCGAGAACGAGAATAAACCACGGAACAACACCACCAAGAAATTTCCACTATGAATTTAGAAAGTTTTGTAGAGAACACGCTCAAATATCCTCTCTATAATGAAGAAAACTTACAACACTTCGCTCCAAATCCTTTCTCCATACCAGACAAAAGAAACATAAGAGAAATCCTCGTCTATGATGCTTCTCACCTTCACCAGAAAATTGTCTAGAAAAAAAACACGTATTAGAACTAACCACATCACCGCTTGACATAATGCTTCTTAGTTCTAATCCTGGACTAACCACATTCGACGCAAAAGCGTCCGAAATTGGGCAGCTTAGTGCTAATGGCTCAGGAAGAAAAGCCAGGAATGCTCGAGAGGTTGGTGCATGGGCGCCCACAATTGGGCGCAAAAGGGCGTAGGAGCGCCCTTGTTTGGGGGCAGGGCCTCCCAATCACTAGGCACAGTAGCGCTCTGGTTGGGTGTAGGGGCCCCCGTAGCTTGGCGCTAACATGTCAAGTGCTTGGTCTGCCTACTACTATGATTGTGTGCTCCCGGTGCTCCAAATTAGGCTCCACACCATAACATTATGTCTAAAAAGCCGTTAACGCTATGGTGAATGACTAATTCAAGGAGCAGAAAATGTTAGAAGATGACTTCAATGCCATCAGCACCACCACGACCTTGCATAACCTCTCTTAGAAGCGCATGTCACATTCTAGATTTCCATGCAAGTTGGATCTTCTTGTGCTAGGGATTTTTCTCTCCTCCTCTCTCACCCTAGAATTGATCACAGTCCAGTAAAATTGGTTAACACCAGTAGAAAGGTGCTCTGAGTATTAAAATTTGAACTTTCTATGAGGGGTATATAAAATCTAATGTTTCAAATGTTATGTATGTGGATCCCCCTTCTCAAAAATAGATATTTGTATATATGATATTAAATTGTAATAGATATGAATACTAATATTTAGGGTAGAAACAAGTGAGATTTGTTTGATATATATTCAAATGTCTCGTTAATTATTTTATCAAAGCATCTCAATGAAAAACTTTTCATATTTTTATAAAGATTTGGTAAAATTTAAAATATTTTTATTAATGGCAATTATATTTTTACTGATACAAACTATTTATATGATTGTTAAATTTAATAAAATTGAACTATATTAAAATATTTTATAATCTAATTAAAATTTGAATATATAAAACCCACAAATCAATTAATTTAATCAATTTAAATTGATGTGAATACATGAAACTAATGGGAGCTGATTTGACCCGAGTACACAAACTGATTTAAACTGCGCCGAATTCCAATCGCACGCTCGTCCGAACTGAATTTTTAATGTGATGGTTAACTGCACGTCCGAACTGGTAGTTCAAATCAAGCTGTCAATTTGCACGTCCTCAATTTAGTTGGTTGCACAACAGCTGTGGTAGAAGCGTGGAACGCGATTTCGGAGCAGGTAGGAGCCGGGATTGACAAAAGCTGCTTCCCGATATCAAGAAGCTCGAAGATACTCAGTTCATCGTCCTTCATCAATCTTTCAGTTATTCTTTCTACAGTCACGAGGCACTTCTTCTCTCTGATTCTGCTCTATGATACCTCTTTTCTCTGGCTGATTGGCTTTTAGTTGACATCGCCTGATCCATGACGATGAGAGGCCCGCGTTACCCTCGAGCAGTTTCCCGACGGAGATCGTCGCCATGCTCATGTGTATTGGCGGTGTTCCTGTCGATCTCTATGTTTATTCTTGTGCTTCTTTCCCTCGGCATCTTGTCCCTTCCTATCAAATCCAAAGACGCGCCCAAAGTTGAGCTTCGCTCCGATCGATCTGTTTACGAGAAGTGAGGGGCTGGATAGCAGAAATGCCATTTCTTTTTTTCGATTCGATCTTTTAAGTTCTTAATTGCTATCTTTTATTGGTTGTTTTTGGGTAGGATTAAGACGGAGCGGGGAGAGCAATGGGTGGAGGTGATCTCTTGGGAACCTAGGGCTTTCATCTACCATAATTTTTTGGTGAGCTACATTGGACTTTGTTAGTTTATTAGGTTTGTTTTGGATTTCTGCTTCAATTTCACCTAAGTAGCTCTAGCTTGTAAAAAATTATATGCTGCGCTATAAATTTTATTCTTTTGGCTTTTGATGCAGAAATTTTCTTGCTTATTAGTGGTCAGGTAAGATAATTTTTTAGCACATTGTAGCATTAGTCACTTCTGCCGTATGTAGAAGGTACTATTAACCAACTAAAATAAAGCCAAGTTCTTAATAATTATTCAATAATCAAACAAATGAAATAAATCTACGGTCGTAATTTTTTTAGGGTCCAATGATTCATTGGCATTTTATCACAACGTATTATTAGTGGACAACATTTATCTTTCGTAAAATTTCTATGACTTGATTGGTTATGATTTTTTACCTCAAAAAAGGATGAATTTCCGTGTTATAGCAATACCAAGAATAGTTAACTTTTTCCCTGTTACTTTTTTATCATTTTTTTTTGTGACAATTAAATCTGGCAGTTGATATTATACTTTGTAATTCTGTTTTTTTTTCTTTTTTTTTTTTCGAGTTGGTAATTGTGCTTGAAACCAAACTAGCTTGAGTTTTAACTCCTCTAAATTGATTTGCTTAAGCTTAGTTTAAATTAGTTGTTGGTGCTTTCGTGAGCTTAATGTATTTGATTTCATGAGTTTTTTATGTTGTTTGATTATCAATCAGTTTCATCGAAATTTTCACATCAAATGACTTTGATGCATCAAAAACTAATTGTGATTTCAAAAATGTATTGACTTTCAAATAGCTTCAGGCTACTCCAATACTATATAGTTAACTCTCCAATAGTATATAATATTTTTTATTGAATAAGTTTGTATTTTTATATCTTTTACGATCCATTGTAAATGTGCTTGAGACTTTCAAAATTAAGCTTGGCTTGCCCAATTTCAACTAGAATCATAAATTTTAAAATCAAATATCGGTAAGCCTAATCAAAAATTAATTCTTGTCGGTCCTATATGGTTTGGTTTTTTTAATAATTACACACACAAATGCTTTTTTTGAATACCTCCTTTTAAGTAAAGAGGACTACAACTCTTCTTTTGAAGTTATGATCTAATCACTAATGAATGAAATGAAATTTATTTTGATTTTAAATTAACATGAAAGAATTCATTAATATTACATCACTAAGCAAAATTATTAGACAATATATCTGTTTCAAAAAGATTCTCTTACTTAGTTTTACTTGTTTTTTTAAAAAGAGTTGGAAATGTCTTATTACAATAGTTTGGCAGTTGAATTTTTCTGTGGAAAAATTATTGGATTTTGATCATTTTATTATGTCAAACAATTTTGATAGTTGACTTGAGAACTTAACCACTAATTGAAGTTCTAATCTTCTGTTCATAGATATAACATTGGCATACATGTTAGAAAGTGGAAACCAAACTAGTTTGAGTTTCAGCCTAACATAAATTCAATTAATTTATTTGAGCTAGTTCAAATTTTTTATTGAATTATGTGATGATGCAGACATGTGTGCGCGCGCGCTTAAGTGTACTCAAAATTAAAGTTAGCTTTACTCAATTGCAACTAGATTTGGAAACTTAAAATGTGAATCAAAGAAGGTTAATTGAACTTGACTTTTTGTTATTTATGTTTGCATCGGTATTTTTTGAAACTTCTTAAGTAGAATGAAGTTAAATTCTTAATCATCAAGGTGACTTTTAGTGTAACCATTGAAATCTTTTAAAAAATTACAAAGTTAAGCATGTTTTACGGTAGCACATTTGGTTGGGTGACCTTTTGGGAAGTTGCACCAACAACAACAACAACTACAATGAGCCTTTATCCCACTAAGTGGTCAGCTACATGAATATTTTTTTCTCCGTTGTGTCCTATTGAGTGTCATATTTTCATTTAATTATAATAGATTAAGATCATTTTTATACAATATGCTCAAGTCTTTTTAGGTCCATCTCTGCCTTTCTTATCATAAGTTGAATCTAAAACATCTACTCTCCTAACCGCATTATTAGCTGGTCGACGTTTAATGTCACGAGACCATCTAGACGACTTTCTCCAATCTTGTGTGCAACTGGAGCTACACCAACCCTTTCACAGATAAATTTATTTCGCATTTTGTTTCTGAGTGCCAAGCCACTCATCCACCTTAGCATTCTTATCTCAGCAATAAACTTTGTTTTATGCTTATCTTTTAAAGGCCAACATTATGCATCATAAACTATTGCAGGTCTCATTGTCATCTTATAAAATCTTTCTTCAAGTCTAAGTGGTACTTTTCTGTCATACAAAAGGCCTGTTGTATTTCTCCACTTCAACCAACCAACCTGAATTCTACTAATAACATCCTCATCTATATCGCCGTCACTTTGAACAATAGACCGGAAATGTCTAAAACTTTCACACCTTTTAATGATTCGATCATTCATATTTACAAATTTGTCATTAGAGCCACTACTACTAAAATTATATTCCATTGATTTAGTTTTAGATCTACTCAAACGAAGGTCTTTAGACTCCAATATCAGCCTCCATAGTTCATGTTTTCCTTGAACTCCACTAGTCTTATTCACAATAAGTATATCATCAGCAAAAAGCATACACCAAGGTACATCCTCCTATATTTGTCCAGTGAGAACATCCATAACTAAATCAAAAAGATATGGGCTTAAAGTCAATCCTTGATGTAATCCAACTAAAATAGGAAAATACTTGGTCAATCCTCCTCTTCGGACACAAGTAACAAGTTTAGTATACGTATCTTTAATGACTTGAATATAAGTCATATCAACACATTTCTTTTCTATAACTCTCCAAAGAATTTCTCTTGGAACTTTATCGTAAGTTTTTTCTAAATCAATAAAATCATATGTAGATCCTCCTTACTCTCTCTTTAGTTCTCCATCAAACCTCCAAATAAATGTATAACTTCCATAGTAGACTTGGCCGGTATGAATCCAAATTGATTATGCGAAATCTTTGTATCACATTTTAACTTATGTTCAATTAACTTCTCCCATAATTTTAAAATATGACACATTAACTTAATTCCTCTATAATTTGTGCACTCTTTTGCATCTCTTTTATTCTTTAAAATGAGGTCCAAAATACTTGTTGTCCACTCTCCGAGCATCTTTTTAGTTTGTAAAATAAAATTAATGAGTTTAGTAAGCCAAGAAACTTCCAAATCTCCTAGATATTTCCACACTTCAATAAGGATATCATCAGGAAGTTGCACCAATGTGAGCTACCACTTGAACCTAAACCCTAAACCTTTTGGAAAGTTTCATAAATGGGACAAAATTGTGAGGCCACTAGGGTAAGCATATAATATCTTGATAGATGAGAGTTGGGCAATTATGAATATTATTAGGGAAATAAACTAGCCTGAATATGAGAACTAAGTAACATACATAACAAAATACTTCGCATTGTGAGCTATTAGACGAGACAAGGAATTTCATGGTGGGATGTTCCTTTTGAATTTCTTGGGGCCACCTTTTAAAGCTTGTTGGATAATTTGTGGGTTAAGGATATTGATGAGGACATGCAATTTATGTGAGAAAGATTGTGAAATCTATTAAGTAGAAAGATGCTAAACTCTTAAACATCTATACGTTTTATGGTATAATGGAGAAATTTTATTAGAAACTCCAAAGTTAAGCATGCTCGTACGGGAGCACGTTTGAGCTGGGTGACTTTTTGGGAAGTTACACTAAGATGATAAAATTATAAGTCTTCTGGCCTAAAGTAGACAATATCTTTATAGGTAAGAGTTTGTGCTATTATAATTTTGCCCATCTCTTTTATAACGGACGGCTACAATTTTTTTTTAAAACTATAATCTAATCAATAGTGAATGAATTTAATGTTATTTTGATTTTTTGCTTATCTCATTTAGCATGACTTTATTGATTGTCTTCTAGAATGCAAGTGTGTCAGATAGATTTTAGAATTTTTAAAATTATGGCAAATGTAAGATAAAAGTTTGCTAAATTTGTTTATTGTTAATACAATACCATGAACACCATTACCACCATTAAGATGTTTTTTTATTGTAGCTTATTATTTAACTTCTAAATCTTGACCTAATCATGTGCTGGTGGAAGCCTTAAAGAATTATATATAATAGCAGGAAAGAGATTTGATAAGTGATTTGTGGTAGTTTGTGAGAAATAGATGGAGTAGGGATGGACAGTGTAGGTTGGAATTTAGAGATGATGCAGGGGTATTATGTTTATTACCAATGAATTATTTACATGTGTATATATGAAGATAAAGAAGGTTCAAATATTTCCAGAAAATAAAAAAGATTTTGTCTTTATAGGATAGTCAATATTTTGAAGTTTCTCCTTAAAACGAGGCTTTTAAAATTTTATATTTATGATTTTTTTTATAGTTGTCATCGAGATTTGCTTGTTGTAGCTTATTACATAATTGTGAATTGCGACTTGTTTGGGTGGGCTATTATTGTTGGTATAGTACGTTGAGTTGTAGAAAAGTTTTTATAGGAAGTTGTGGTTTGGAAGTTGTTGGAGAAAATTGAGTCAGGATATCTTGACCAAGTTTGTAGTTAGGATGGGTTTCATACCTAATAGGTTTTCTTTTAGATGAGTGTAACTTAAGTTTTAATTAATCCGTTATGTGTTGCAATTAATTAAATTCAACAGTTTTAAGATCCATGATGACTAGTTTTTTTCCATAATATTATGATTCAAAATTTTTTTGTATTTTGGAACACTGCAAATGATGGGTGAAGTTAAAGTAAGCTCTATGCATTTGTTAAAATTTTCTATTCAACTTTTTCGTTGAAACTGTGATGAAGGTCCTTACTTTTTTTAGTTCCATATTAAATATTAAACTTTAATATAAATATTTAAAAAATTAAAGTATGACACTCAATAGGACACAATGAAGAAAAATGATTCATGTAGTCGATCCCTCTTAATGGGTTAAAGGTTTTATTGTTATTGTTGTAATATAAATACTTA